TTGTCGTGGCTTAGCTTCCGAACTGCTTCATAGGCAGCTCCAGCCAGGCCGGCCCTAAGGTGGACGGGCGTAGCCAGCTGAGTCTGGTCGTTGCCGTCACGGCCGTGCCACAGATCCCATGCTCTCTCGCAGTACTCTTCGAAGGCATCTGGGTCCCCTGTGTACTGTGGAACCCCGTACCGGTCCACACCAAGTTTACTGGAAAAGCTCATCTCGAAGAATTCCAGTAGCCGAGCTCGCCGCCGCAAAGGTCGGGGAGCTCAAAAGAGAAAGGGTCGGTCCGGCCGCACCGCAGCAGCACGGACCAGCGAAGTTCGCGTAGGGCTCGAGGTCCTGTCCCCTAAGGAACAGCAGCAGATGCCGGGATCAAAACCCAGCTCCGCTTACCATCAAAGTTGTGCTAGCAGCACAAGCAAAGCGGTAGCCTTTCCCTTGCTAAAAAGGGCGCCCTTCGTGGAGCCGTCGTGCCACGCAAACATGCCGGTGCATCTGCTTCCCCTATACATGTGCAAATGCCCTTCTGTACATCATGCCTGCACAGGTGTATTTTCTCAGCACATATCATGCACCTATACTTCTCTCTCTGTCTGACAGCTTGAGCAAGAGCTGAGCCTATTTCACAAGTCTTTGAGGCACCGGCTCCCGATCTTTCGCCCCACGGCGTACCAAAGGCAGTTCGGCCTGGCCAGTTTCAGATACCATAAGATATGATCACAGCTGAGTGTATCCCCGAATTTATATATTGAATTGATGTTGCTATACAAGTATCCAAGTCTGCTTTCCATGCACGCAGTGAAATACAAATTCTATGTTGATATCTAGGACATGTACATAACTATAAATGACTTATCATGGGTATGCCTTTCCAGCATCATTAAAAGCGATTTGAAATACCAGTGGTCCGGGTCCTCGAGGTCTGCCAGCAAGTCTGGTGCCACGGGCCATCCTTTGACAACGGCCTGTGACAGCGAGCAAGTTTTCCGCAGAGTCCGGCAATATGGAAGCTGGCACTCTGCACAATGCTGGCAGATGCTAGTCTCTAGTCGTTTCAGGACGACTTGAACGCTGCAAGTCCTCGGCCACGACCGTCGTGAAGACTGCCACATCGCCGTCAGTCCGCATCCACGCCTCGGCAGCTCTCAACATGTCAGACAAGTTGTGACAAAAACCGTGCTGATTTGGGACGCAAGCTGGGGAACTTCGTGCACTGCGCAGCACGTAGTCCGTCATGGAGGCAAGGCATGCCTCATTGACTCATCGATGATCCGGCTATGCTGATAAGACTCAAAAAGCTGAAACACGCTTGTTCAATATCTCTCCCAACCCCCACAATGCTGCCTCAACAGGCTCGGTGCTGGCATCGAGGTGCACGAAGCCACGTGCAATGACGCTCAGACCTTGGCCGAGCTACTTAACTTGAAATGTTACCGAAGACCAACAGCAAAGAGCTAAGCACCCTTGGCCCAAGCAAAGCTCCGCACCACTGATCCGAAAAGAATCGGCTGGGACTACGGAGCCTCGCGCACCATGGGCAGGAGCGGATACAGTACTAGCTTAGCTAATGCAGTGCAGCCATGCGCAGCCCTCGCTGTGTGCCGGGCCATCTTTGCAAGTATAAGAGAACATGACGTCGGGCCTTGCCAGAGATCTGGGAGTACGGATGCTACGAAAAAAAGGCTCCCTGCCTCAACTTCGGTCTTCGCTCGTCATGATCGTCCAGGAGCCGTGGCAGCCAGGCTGCAAGTTTGTCGATGAGTGATCGTGTTGTGCCACGGCCCATCCCATACCAGCGGTAGGCAATCATGGTGTTTTGGAAGTTCCGGGGCGCCAGGGACCGAACGCGCACGGTTCGCTGCAGCTCTTTGGCAGCTTCATCGAACAAACGGTGATGCCGAAATCTTTGTCTTGCATAACACCACACAAGGGTTCCCAAACCGCAACGATCCAGGGACGGAAGCAAGCCGTTGCAGAAGTGGTCTGCGGCCTGGTCGAAGAATGTCTGTGCACGCACCCCTGCTCGAGTAAACGTCCATAAAAGGTACACAAGATTGATTGGATGGATCCGTTCAAGCCGCTGGCTCGCAACTTTGGCAACAGCCTCAAAGAAGCCTTGATGAGCGAACATCTTCTTGTTCTTCTCTGTTTCGGCGGCGAAATACCCCTTGCCGGACCCGCGTCCTCCACCCTTTCCTTTCCCCTTACCTTTCTCACGATCCTCGATGAAAAACCAGAATGTGTTATACTGGTAGTCATGCCACGAAAGCACTCGAGGAATGAACATCTCATATTCCCAAACTGCCCGCCGAGCCAGGATGTCATCGGTAAGCTGCAAGCGCCGAAGCTCATCAGGATCCTGCAGCTTCTGGCGAAGCTCTTTGATCGAGAGATCTGCTGCCGGACCTTCCATCTCCAGGGGCTCCGCTGCTTGATGCAGCTCTTTGGAGCTCTGACTCGTTGATGGTGGCTCGAAGCAAGTCTGCTGTGTTTCGGTGTTGTACCAGTAGGGTAGAACTCCAACTTGAGGATGCGTGCGCCTTTCGATCCAACCATCTGGCCAAGCCCTAGGCTTTTGAAACCATTCCCAGTATTCCTGGAACTCTTCTTCTCCACCTCCATCTGTGCTCATAGGCGGCAGGTCCTCGGCCTCGGCCGCAGATGTCGGAGAGCTTTGTCCCAGCCGCACCGATGACAGCGAACGCCTTGCAGCTGCCAGGGCTCCTCGCAGGCTTCGACATCCTGGCCCCACACAGATATTCCGTTCCAGCCGGTTGCGGCGCACGCAACGGGCCAAACAAATCGCTGGGGCAATGGAGCCAGCGCAGCTCCATGTGTAGCTTCCAGCATGTCGTAACTGCTCCTTCTGGTTTCTTTGAACCCCTCTCCTGCCAGCAGGGCTTTCTGAATCTCTGATATGCAGCAGAACAAACTTTTATAGAGGTTTTCAGCTGCGCACTTCTCCAACTGCTCTGCATTATTTAGCATTTTCTGCTGCAGGTGGTCCTCCGGAGCAGAAAGGGCTCCCAGGACGAAACACGCCCAACTTGGACTCTCGGATGATTCAGCCGCAGAATCCCCGACATTGAAAATGCTGCTTGACGTGCAGAGAGCTGCTACAGTAGGTTAATACACCGACCAACATTCCATTCTGTGTAAGGTTCATGAATGCGACTTGCGATATGACATGCTTCGCAAGCCTAAACGCTGCACCAGCGGGCCTGAAAAACAAGCTGCGTTGCAACGGAGAATGCAAGCACAGTGATCATGATTCATGTTGTCGTGCTTTGAGAACTGCGCCGAGTGATCGCGACAAGTCGAAGCGCAACGAACTCCGTGCAAAGGCATGTTGCGACTGTTTGGTCACCTTACCCCGCTCCCATGGGATTCTCAGGACGACTCAACACCAACTGTTCTTGTCTGATGCTGCTGTCCTGATATGGGCATGAAAGGGCATGAGGCGTAACTAGGAAGTGGAGCATGCTTCGGGGCAGCGAATCTTGTAATCTTGGTACGGTGCTGCAGAGCTGATGCCATTAGGCTACGCCGATCCGCACAATGTGCATCACTCTGCTCAACTCTGCTCGTAGAGCGATAATGCATAGCGACTCACCTGGCGCAGCTTCACGAAGCTGAAGTGGTCGGCAAATTTTGGAGGCTGCAGAGATCTGATGTCGTTTCCCGAGGATCCAAAATTCGCCGAGGAAGCAAGTTGAGGGATGTCGCGAAGCTCGGGATAGGCCTCTAGTGACACTAGTGAACTAGTGCTTCACAGCACATGCTTATACCCTCAACTGTGCTGAGACATTCAAAGGGAGTGGCCGCAGGGTCCTCGTGTAGGTCGAAGAACGGGATTGCCACAAGCTTGTCCTGGTGGGGCTTGAAAGCTGATCTCAACAAGTTCCCCTAGTGAGACTGCAGATGCGGGTCGGCTGTCGTTCCACTAGGAATCCTAGCCTTGGAGGGCACAGCGAAAACACATCTCTGCGGTAGGCTCACCTGGTTCAAACGGCCAAGCTATTGGCAAAGCATGGCGATGCCACTCAGAAAGAAGCTGCCAAGATACTCACTTGCCTGATAGACCTTGACGCACTCTTTCGGTCTTGTAACATGCGGAGGCCTTGAGCGATGTTGGCTTGAGCAAATGCTTTGCAAAAAGACGATTGTGAACTGCTTGGGAATCTTTCTGAGGATGCTGCAGGTAAGGATAAGTGGTGCCATCGAAACTTGGGCACCACCTACGAGCTGAGGGCATGTCCAGAATTAGGTGAAGTTAGCTGTGTCCCCTATGCTGGGTGGGCCACCAAACAGAAAGCAAGTCACCAATCTTCCACTCGCAGACCTGCATGCGCCGACTCGGGGCATTGGCGTAGAAGCCGTGACTTTCTTAGGTGGCTGCCATGTTTGGATCCGCATTGAAGATGAATCGTCGCATTTTTCGATTTAGCCTTGGCTGCCAGAATCCTTCCCTGATCACCTGGCAAAACGCCGGCTGAGTAAAAGGCCCATCTTTCTCTGACTCCCCAGGCCGCAATGTGCCACCGGGAAGAGCATAGCCAGCTTCGCCTTGAGGACTTCGCATCATATCGTCTTTTTCATCAGATCTAGACTCGGGCCCAGAATCCTGTAAGACAAGTGCTCTGCAAGGCGAGGATATGCGGGTGACAGTTGACCTTGGAGCTGACAGGCAGTCAAGATCGCCTACCGAGATTCACGCCGGGGCTTTAACATGCACAAGGAGGACTGCACGAACGGTTCGTCGCATGCCTGGGTCGTACGAAATCCCTGCAACGTCGTTTGGGGGGATGTACAAGGTGTTCCACATGCCGACAGCAGGGCCTTCGCTCTCGTACTTTCGCTTCCGTCGAAGCATGAGCGGCTCATCCTGCATAGGGACCGAACCGCCGAGCTTTCGTGCTTCGCCTACAAGCTGTGCAGCCCTGCCTTAGCTGGCTTCGGCTTGGCCCCCTGAGTATCATAGCCTGGACATGCATCAAACGCCAGTCTTGACGTGTCTGCAGGCACAGTCTTCAAGCCTGACTGCGGGAACAAAGGCCAATCCTTCCGGTCTAGCTCCATGATACAGCCTTTGCTTGCAAGCTTGCGAGAAGCAAGGCAAAAACTTGCTTGACACCACGACTCACTTTTCTGCCCAAGGGGCATTTCCAAGGGAAGGCTCTCCCTCTGGATAACTGTGTGGGCTTGAGTGTGGCTGTGTGCGAATCTGAGTCGAACTACGAGCAAAGAGTCTTGCATCGATGCTTGTTTGCTCTCTGCCGGGAGATGTTCTGGGCGCATCCTGTCCGGTTTTTAGCATCCCGCACGGAAGTCTTTGTCGGACGATCCGAAAAAATGTCGAGCGCCAATGGAAGCTTGATCCGAGACCCACAGCAGTTGGCAATGCAAAGCAGGCCCCAAACAAGCCCTACACCCCAAGCTGTGTGCTCCAGCGTATGGGAGGGCTCAACATTTGGGGAAGGGAAGACCTAGTTGAATTGAAACGAGGCTCGTCCTCTTTTGGTCTAGCTTGACAAGCCTGTACCCCATGTTGCGGCGATGTCGCGACAGACCTAAAACCACCCAGCTGCTCACCCGCAGGTGGCACTGTGCTTTCTTCGAGTGTGATTCCCGTAGTCATGTGGCATCCACACTAAGCTTTATGGGATATCACCCAGCACAGCGCTCTCATTCTACCTAGCACAGCAAAGAGCGGCTGAAGGTAGTGCCCTTTCGGGCCTGCTCCATCTGGCAGCTGGGAATAACGACATACTTTGGTGTCTGCTTTGCCGGAGTTGTCGAGCAGTCCTTTCTGCTGGACTCTCAGCTACTGTCTGGCTTGGGCTGATCAGTCTTGCTTGCTTAGCCAGGAAAATTTGAGACAATTGAAAAAGTACTGCACCGCCACTCTCTGCAACCGTGGAAGGTCACCGTGGCTGTGAAATCATCGCGGTGATGGCGCGAAACAACGTCGCCTCACATGCCGTCGCGCTGACGGGAAGATCAGTATTCTGCATTTAAACCTCGCTGGGAACGATCCGTCTCCCTCAGAGTCTGCTGCATCGCTGACAGCTTACACCTGCGCGTGAACATGCTGCTGCTGCTGACAGTCATTGATCATGACGTATCCTGCCTGAGGCTTTCCATCCTGAAAGCGAAAGCACAGTTTCAGCTGTCCACCATGTCTTGCAAGCGCCATCCGCCTTAACTTCTGCTTCTCCAGTATGTGGCCACCGAAGTCCTACGCACATGGCAGGGACTCTGTGTGTGTGTGTGTGTCTTTGTTGCAAACATGCCCTTCTAGGAGCTTTTGACCTCGGAAGGTTAGGACAGGTTAGGCTGTGTCGAGGTTTCTTCGTAAGCCAACTCCTTCAAGTAGTCCAAGGCAGGGCTCTCTTGCAAAGCCTTTGCACGTCAATGTTGAGACATGCTGTAGCTATCTGGCGCAAGGTTTGAGCACATCCAACGTGATCCAACAGCCCCGAGGTCACGGCACGTCTCAGATGCTCTTCCTGATAGAGCCTCGCCATCATTGCCTCAGGAAGCCCTCTACGTTCGCGTTCCTTCAACCGTGGTGCTGCGCCCTGAACTCCCTCCAGCCTTCAGCCGGGGCCGGCAGAAATGGATGGCGTCTACATGGATGCCCTTGAAGAACTTGAGGCACAGCTCCTGCTGTTCGCTTGCAGCTCGATGTCTAAGCTCTGCAACTCGCGAAACACCAGTCCCTGCAAGCAAACCATCGACATACTCTTCCACAACAACTTTGCCATTCGACAAACTAAGACACACAACCCACGTCAACCGTGATCAAAAACATTAAACTGACATCACGGGCTAAGAACGGAATGGTACCGGGACAGTCCTGGAAGGCACCACCTGCGTAGTTCTCTGCAGGAGGATGGAGACCTGTGCTCTCTTGGCTGTCTTAGCGATTAAGAAAACAACAGAAGCAGCCCATAACAATTTGACTACGCGGGTTTACCTCAGCGAACATTATTGCTCGAACTGGCGATTACAAGAGCAAAGCCTTGTTCCTGCAACCACAGCCATGGCGAAACCTGCAGGGCCCCCTGCATGGCAGGTTGAAGATCTGCTCAACCCGCTCGCGCTGTTCCTTTCGCCGGCGCAGTCCCCTTCCCCTCGTCTCGGCTGCATTTGGAGTGCCGACTTGCCTGAAGGTTCTCGTAAGCGGAAATAGTTCCGTCCACGCTGAGCCTCGCTCAGAAGATTCAAGGGAGCAGCATGCAAGTTGCCGTGGGCTCGCTCCCGATGCTTCCGTCCTAACCGCCGAAGCCCCCGACTGTATGGTTCCCGGAGACTTCCCGTCTGCAGGGGAGATCTGGCGACAGAGCTTCTCAGGCAATCGGGTTCGCAGCACGGCTGTCGAGACCCCAACCGCAAGAGTCATAGGCATGCAGAGGCAACATGGAAAACAAACAGGCCAAGAGGTCCACCACATTTTGCATCTGCTTGTATCGTGCCGACTGCCACATGTCCCTGATCTCCTGGCCAAGACTTGGAGAACATGTCTTTGCTCGTGGTTACTTTTGCTGGCTATCCTGGCTATGGGGCCTTCAGCTTAGCAGCTGACGACATTAGAGTGCTCAGTGCAAAAATTACACAAGGTCCGACACCCGTTTTCCTGGAAGGCATCGCGCTGTCTGACGCTTCTTCCGTCGTCTTGAAGCCTGGTTCGTACGGAAGCCAAATTGGATTCGAGCCGAAGTAAGCCTCAAACTTGCTGGCCGCATTTAAGTAGCCAACTCGAAGTGCTGCCGACGCAGCTTCTTCGCGTTCAAAGGAAACCTTCCATTCCTGGACCAGTGCTGAGTCCGAGCATGTTCCGACAAGATCCGGTACTAGACTGTAGCCGCCTTACCATGATGATGTAACATGCAAGACATGCCAGCACTCAACGTGCAACAACTGTCACCAATGCTGCCGTCGCGACGTGCAAGACTCCTCGGAAAGCCGCAGCACCCATTATGCCAAGGCAGCGGCAGGATTGCAAAATCCACCGGAAACAAGCCATCGAACTTCTCCTGGTCAAAACTTACTTTCGCATCGGCCTTGTCACAACGCAGTTCTAACTCCGTTGCCATTCCTCCTTCTGGCTTCCAATTCCAATACCAATTCTCATTATTTGTAGGGGGGCTGGCCGGGGGACGGGGGGACAACTGCTACTGAAGAAATGGGTCCAGGGAGGAAACAATGCCGGGGGGTCTCCAGCATTTCTTCGAGCGCCGCCTGCCAATCTACTCTAAAACATATCCTGACCCGGAACATTATCTTCTCATCCAGCACTGGCACTGTAGCTATACATTGACAGCGCTTGTCCTGCAATGCCCGCAGTGTGCCCGAGATCACCTTGTCCTGCACGGTTGAAAGGCTAGTGGCTCACCCTGAGCTGTTTGAGTGGCTACTGGGCGAGTCCAAGCGCGAATCATCCCTGGTACTCTTGACTCTTGACTATCACCGATCCGGCAACGCCTCCAAAGCACGGTGCATGAAGCATACAAGGGGCCTTGTACATATGGAGCTGGTCCTCCAGCCAATCCTTCCGAGGGCAGACTAACCAGCTAGCAGTCGACGACACCAGAACAGAAAATACAGGGTTGGGATATGACATCATTCCCTTTTAAGAAAGCCAATGTGGTAAGGGCCGGCAAATATATTACGAATATCACACCCGCAAGTTTAGGGTTTCCTTCTCGCTTGGTTCCCCAGACAGGGAAGATGCTCCGCGAGGCTTGTTTAAGTCTTGCTTGCAGCAAGGTGTCCGCACCGTTCATGCCCATCTTTGTGACGTTCCGCAGGCTCTGTGCCACACCTCCGAATCGAGCCGAGATACAACATCGAGCTCAAAAACTGGGCTGTGCAGGGGTTGCTTATCGTTGGGATCCATTGGGAAGCCCGCGACCCTGTCGCAACATGGTCGTAGAAAAAAACCAGGATGGAAACCGAACCAGTTGCGTCAACCGCTTGCGCATGTGGAAAAATCAAAAGGACATTCGTTGTGGACTGAGAAGCCAAACAGAACAAATCATGCCACCTTCCATTGCAGTGAGTGCCGTGGAGACATCTCGCCCCCAAAGGTAGTTGAAGCGCTTCATAAACACCTCACGAGAAAAGTGTGCTGTTGGCATTGGTGGTCAAGACTCAAGACACTCAAAACACTATCGAACCCAGCCTTCTGGCTGTGCATGTTAAGCTGGGACATACCTGCATGTAGTGGACGTGGAATCTGCATCTGCGTCTTGTAAGAGTATTCTATTACCGACTTGAGGCAGTCTTTCGGACATGAGCCGCGAACGATGGAGTGCGAGCTTGGCAATCATCTCTTGCTGGCCAGCCTGGGCTGACAGAACACAGCAGCCGTCAGTTCGTGAGCTCGCTGTCGCCGCAGTGCACAGTTGCTTGATGCCGATAAAGATTACTCGTCACCCTTCCAATGGTAGATGGGGCCCGGGCTGCGGACATCATGCCTGCTGATGCTTTTGCCATGCTGAGCTCTTCGTTCGAAACCTGGCATGTGCAGACACCAGTTTCGAGCAACACGGTGCTGCTCAGTCCGTCGCATGCTACCTGCGGACGTGGCTCCGCTCGAACGGAACTTTTGAATTTCTAGTGATGCTACCCATCAATCTCGGGGCTGCGGCTCTCTTCATGTTCAGCTGGAGAATGACAAACACGAATTCGTCGCAAAGGCGTAGCCAGGACCTCTGCTCATGAGATCATGCGCGAATGCCCCTTCGACAAAAAGCTGAGTCCACAGCGGCTGCCCTGCAAGCTTTGTGTTCTTGTTTGCCATAAACGCCGTCTTAACCTTGTCAGAATCTGCACACTGGCGATGCGCAAAGCAATTCGTCCGTTTCCATTATCTTCCATTCGACTGGCCTGCTTGGCATCCACCTGGGACAGCACTTCAACATAACCTTGATGATCTGGCCTGAGTCAACGAAACTCGCCATGTCACATGCAAATCAAGACGAATGCTCGGCTAGCCCAGCTGGGTACTCGACCATCTCGCCTCCTCACCTGCTTTCTTGATCTCTTCCTGTCACATGTCTGCAGACTGGCCCGAGCTCCGCGAATTGGAATTGTCTTCTAAACGGGTCTAGAGTCTAAATACTAAATAAATTGAACCTCGGTGGTCAGCATGTCGTTGGGCAAGGCACGGGAGCCGCTGAGCCACCCACACACCTGCTACGCTGTACGACCGATGACGGCCACGAGATGTCAAGAATGCGAAAGCCAGTCAACTCGGCAGGGATGCTGCATCCACAGCTTCCAAACTGGCATCTCGCTCGATCCTGCTGCAGCCGATGCAAATGCCAGGTAGATTGCTTCCCATTGTGCCGCTACTACAGAGCTAGCTGGGGGGGAAAACTTGCAATTCAGTCGGGAGGTCCACATGAGCAAGGCTAGCCTACTCTGCAGACGTGAGGATGCTGGGCCTTCCGGACTGCTGCCTTTCGGCGGCCCAGTCCAGCCTGCGGCCCAGGAGAACGCTTTGCCCAAGTCCATGCCCGAATGAAATCCCATGCTCAATCGAAGTGAGCTCAAGTGTTGCCCAGCAACTTGATCGCATAGTCTACCACTGGCTCATTCCTTAGGTCTGCAAGCCCAACAGCGATCATTGATATCAACTTTTGAGGCAAGCGTCATCATACTGTGTGAGTTAAGTCGAGCAGTTCGTGCCAAATGCTGCCATCAACCCCGGCAGAAATCAGGATGCATGTGCCTCAAGCCCTTAACATGGCATCATTCCTCATCAATGTTTACGGTCTTCATGACATGCTTTCATGCCTGGGGTTCGTACACCATCCTTTCAGCAACGAACTCTCGGACTTTGTCTTTGTCTGTGAGCTCCTGTGCACTCTCCAACCCGCCACTCCGTTGGAACAAAGAAGGTATGCACGATCGCAGGTATTGTAACGCAATACTCGGAGCTGTACAGTAAACACGCAGCACAGACGGCGATGGAATCTACCACCGAAAACCCAGACATCTCCTACATACCATTACACCCCCTACGTGCCCAAAGTAGGTGCGGCACGGGTCCATGTGGGTCCTCTATATAGTTTGTGATAGCTAAATCTGAAGGGGGGAACAGCGGACAACACATGTGTGTGCCTGTGAAGAATGACACACATATGTATAAATATACGTATAGAGCAGCACCTAGCACTATGACTATTTTCGCGTATACGCATACCGTATACGCACCATATATGTTATGTATCTATACACACACACACGCACCCATGCATGATGATTGGTGTTACTCAGCGTGCAACAGTGTGTAGTGCCGCATGGCAGTGCGGAAATATAGACGATCCGCAACAAATACAGCAATCACACTGAGTTGACTGGAGACATTATCTTGATCATATGTCGTGAAGCGTACAGCTACCCACGTCTCCTGCAGCATTCCTCTCCACATCGACGCCCATGCAGCTGCCATCTCAAATTGCAGTGCCTTCAAGAGCTTGAGCACCTTAGGTACGCAGCAATCAGTACGGTCATTGTGCTGGCGAAAGGCGACAACACTGACTGATCGATTCTTTAGCAAGAAAATGCAAGGATGAACTTACTGGCACCTCGACATCGTAGAGGTGAGGTGGAGCATTGGGACCTTGGCTACAGCGCAGCGTTAGGTTTCAGGTTCGAATCTCTGATGCTCGGATATGCCAGGTATGCCGGGTAAGTCAGCTGCTCATCGGAACCTCGTAGTCCTGGTCTTTTCCAAAGACGCGAGGAGTCGCGAAAAGGAACATTTGGCAACAGGTATAGAGATCAAGTGCTTAGACCAAGCGTTCCCTTTTCTGCCAGGACCACCATCGCCACCACTGCCAGCAAAATCACAACGATGATAACGGTTATGCCTACCCTGCGAGTGTTAGTTAGTAGAAGAAACGAGAACAGGAACGGTAACACTAGCGACAGGAACAAGAGCAGCAGAAACAAACCATCAGCAACAGCAGGGACGACGAGGAGCATGAATAACGACACCTGTACAACCGCAATGAAGGAACACAGGAGCGCCACAAAGTTGACACCATGAAGTCCGTCACCCGAAGCAGCACTTGTCTTACCCTGCCTTGCCACCACCCTCATCCAACGCCAAAAAGCCAGGGCCCAGCACCAGAAAAACTTGGTCCGAGCCCCCTCCCTCCCTCCCTCCCTCCCTCCCTCCCTCCCTCAAATGCAGCAGCATGAGAAAGCGTGAAACAGAGGATGTTGGGCTGGGCTCCTCGGTGCACAAGCGGAAGATTCGCAGGTTCACGGCGTTGCTGCAGTTGATCGTGGGCGTGCCATCCTGTTAGTCTGAATGAGTCTGAGAGGCCCAACACACCTTGCCACAAGCATATTGCTCTTATTCCTAGTCTAAGTCTTGTTAGGGTTATTGTTCTTACGAGTATCTGTCTTGTGGGTATTATACATATTACTAATATTATCATGTTTATTATACCCATTACCATTATGTTTATTCTTGCTAGTATTATTAGTATGTGGCCACGCCGAACCTCGAAGTGAAGGCCGATCTCATCGATCAACTTTCGGCTCCAGCCGACCTCTGGACCTTTAAAGGGCCCGACTCAGCTACTCCCCGATCAATGTGCGAGGCTGAGGGCAGCACGGCCAGCATCGTCGTCTTCTTGCTTTTCGCAGCACGTGGAAAGCCCGGCACCGATGGATCTCAGAAAGCCTGACGGCCCAAAACCTACTAGTAAGAAACCTATGACACAACACCGAGGAATCAAGCCTTGCTGCTGCCTCTTGACTTTGGCATGCCAGCCGAGACCTGATAGCTTGGCCCAGTGTCCATCGGACTAAAATCAGCCCAAGCATTGCAGGACATGGAGATGTGATGTGCCTTGATTGCTGCCCTTCAGGAGTTTCCGCTCGTTGAACAGCAGCTTTCGCAAGCTCACTTGCCTTAGAAGTGAACACAGAATATCCGGAACTTCACAGAGCCAACCCTACCTCATCACAAAGTGCTTCTGAGGTAGATTCCCGCTGTTGTTGAACTTGAACGGCAGCATCCAGTGCAAAGGCCCTGGAGAGGTCGTGTTCCTTCGCAGCAGCTGGCATGCACGCAAATCATACCTCCATGCATGACAAAGTCGCATCTACGACTAGTACGAGTAGCAGGAAGAGTGAGATACGCACATTACGGCAGAACTGACTTCTGATGTACTCCAGTAGCATCTTGCTGGTTTGCGGTCTAGTGTCTCGTCAACGCGGACCATGATGCCGGACCGCTCGCGTACTCGTGGACGCTGAGTCACGGGATCAATCACGGGCTCATTCTGAACGTCAAACTCAATGCTCCCTTGCAGAACCGAAGACACGACTTCATCGGCATGGTTAAGCAACGCTTTCAGAACGCCAGCCAAGATCAGCTTGGTCATCTCCCCTTTGCGAGCTTCCCGCTTGCTTGATCGGTTGTCTGACTTCTCGCGTGGAGTCATGGATGGAAGCGGAGATCTTCCAGGCTGCTCTGTCTCTCCTGGGTCAGATGCAACCTCATCGAACTCCTCCTGACCTACCAAGTCGAAGAACCTGTCCAACTCATCACCGCTGCGTGCTTCCAAGCAAGCGACAGCACTGCGGAAGTCACGCTCGACCAGAAGACGCATCCGTCGTTCTAACTGTTCCAGGAGAGGGCGAACAAGACCTCGATGCTTCGAATCCTCACCAAGGCTGACCACGACCTTAACGGTCTCCTCCGTGAAGTTGAGTTGACCAGACCTCATGCGTCAGTTGAGTGCCTTCACTCATCTCGGAAGTGAGGACTGTCGCTACGATTACTGTACGAAGCTGGAGTCTGCATGTGTTCATGGATGTGCATAGCATTGGGGCCCGAGCTGGCCGGTGCCGACGCGCATCTTGGCCATGTCATGCAGGCTTGCCGGAACGCATGGCATCGGCGCGAAAGCCAGCATTCCTGTAAACCTCAGAGTAATTGAGGAGACAAAACTGCTTCGCTGATCAGGACCCGACCTGCAGTGACCCTACCATCGCAACATGAATCATGGTGGGCCAGACCAACCTTAGCGGAATCCACTGTCCCAAGGTGGAGAGGCAGCGGGGCTCCTAGTGACTACCTAGTGCCTTCTTGGTGCAACGCAAATAAGCTCCTGTTGTGAATCTGATCTTCTCTCTTCCCGCCCTCGCCGACAGGCCACCTGGATACAGCCCAGACTCTTCTCTCGCATAACCAGAGCACTTGACACATCCTGTACGTAGCTCCCACTTGCAACGGTCCTGAAAATTCGTGACATGACGAGGCAAACGTATTCTTAGTCTTTTCTATGATCGAACTGAGGACCATGGGAGATGCCGGACGGAGGTTTCGCTTACGGCACTGATGGAGTGGAGCGTCACAGGGACTGCGGAGACCTTCCAAAAGAGCCTAGAGGGCTAGACTCTAGACCTAAAGAGTGTCAGTCCAGCATCAGCGATCTAGCGTACACTGACACTTTACGAGCAGTGGATTGTGTCCCAGAGCGGTCGCAGAGCCGCCTCAGGTCCGGGCTCGTCCACGAGCCGCTGCCAAGATCGGATGCAGGCGAGGCGTAGCTCGGACTGAGTCAGACGATAGGTCTGTGGCATTCTGCGGCACTTGCGCTGCACTGCGCTGCACATCGCCACACTCGCTCAACAGCTCCAGGTTGCCTCGAAGCCGCAGTATTCCGTCAGCAGAGACACCACCTTCCTGTCGACGTCTCCAGTGAACCTGAAGCTCCGGATTCTGGGCTGCGGACACCTCTTAACCCCTCTTACCCCTGCAACCCGCGTCGAGGTCTGCATAACCAGTCATGAGTGGCACCAGAAACACTAGCACTAGACGCAAGAAGCCTACATTAAAAGAGACTTGCTGCCAGCGGGCCAGGCGAGTCCGTCATCATCAGAGTGCTTGTCGTTACCTCGCAGACGGCAGAGGAATGCCTCTTGTTCAGTCATGTCTCGCTGGGAAGCAGGCTGTCTAAAGCACCTTTCGCGACTCTCCTTGCTTCATCCTCCGATGTCCAAAGCAGGGAATCATCCTCTTTGATGGTGCCAGTCCTAGGCGTGCCGGCTGCAAGCTTAAAGCTGCATGGTCTGTCCCTTCTTCTTTCTCGACTGAGGTAGCTCGCATAGACTGTGCTACTGTAAAGCTCTGTCACAAAAAAAAACATTGCAGGAAGACCAAGCTCCCGACGCTGGGTCGTACATCTCCTGGCGCTCGAGTTCATAAAACCCCATATGAATGAACAGTCGTTGTAAAGCCCTATCGCCAAGTGATGCGCCACCTTACTACAACGTGCGATTGAGGTATATTGAGGTCAAATGCATTGACGGGAGAACAGTAGTCTGATTGGAAGACAGTCCGTCGGGAAGGCCGCCTGCAGAGAGACAACTGCATCATACGGAAAAGGAAATCACATGCCGGCACTGCTGTGGCATTATGCGTTGCGTCCAGATACTTTCTCACTGTTGCTGCGAAAGATGCCAGCATGTTGTCCCACCTGATCACAAGAACCAAGTTCCGGGGGGCTCCGTGAGAAACAGCACAAAGATCAACACAGAATAGCCCAGGAATGCAGAGAATGAATCAGGTTTATAACCATACCCTGGCATGGGCACCACTAATCGTCAGCAACGAGCAGTCAACGTCGATGCTATCGTCGCCATCATCATCATCATCATCATCATCATCATCATCCCCATCAGCACCATCACCAAAATCATCACCATCACCATCACCATCATTTTCATTATAATAATCATCATCATCACCATCGCCATCTCCATCGCCACCACCACCATCATCATCATCATCATCATCATCATCATCATGACCATCCTCATTCCAGTCGCTAGTCACCATCATCGCCGCGATGCAAACCTTTGTCATCGTCTGAGGTCGTCGCTCTGGTGGGAACTGTAGCTGCTTGACACGAGCCTGAGCCTCAAGTTTCCAGCGTCGTGTCGCATTGCCTGTGCGAAGTCCCGGAGACTCAGGAGCAAACCCGCTCCAGCTCCGACTGGCGCTTTGCGATTTGACGTTTCAGCCTGCCAGGAAGGGACTTCAACATGTTCTGAAGTGTGCTCGCAGCTCTGAGAGAACGGCTCTTCTTGCAGTCTTCCAATGTGCCCGTCGATGTCGTGGAACCTACAGGGACCGATCGCAACACACAAGTCATCCGACACCGAGTTGTACGGATCTTGCGCCGCCGCCGCCGCAAGCAGCAGTAACCTCTGAGGCCACTGCTGGAACTCGTTGAGCTTCTTACGAACCTCAACCATGCACGAACCCCAAAATACACGTGAGCTTTCGTGATTATTGATTTGAACCAGAGAAGCTACCCAAGGTACTCTTGACCACTAGTTTATACCACTGAGGCAGAAGCCAAATCGATGCCCGGTACAATGACATTGGAGAACACCTTGCTGTCCTCTCATGCTGCGACTTTGAATAGCCAAAGATGACAATAGCAGGTCGGACTGCTCAGAACTAGGGGGCTAAACTCTTCCGTCCTTGAACCGCTCTTGCAGCTGCTTGGCCTGGCCACTGCTTATTGGCGCTTTGGCATCGTGGCTCCACCAACGTCGTGTTCCATGGGCAAGAAGCTGAGGTTCTCTCTCTCATTTCCGTGTGCTGCACCATGGCTCTTCGAACCTGAGTGCTCCGAAGACTGGTGCAATAAGGGACAAGTCTAAGTTGATCCTGGCAGAAATTCAGAAATAGAAAAGACTCCAAAATAACAGGCTTCTTAAACCTAGACCTTAGGAAAACCCCAATTAGAACCCGAGCCTGAGCCCTCCTAAGGCCCATTACAAGCCTTAGAACACATAGGAAATTCCTTCAAAACCAAGCCTCAGGCCCGTGACATGAAGGCTCCACATCCCTTCAACATCCAGCTTCAGGCCCATGAGATTTAGAAAAGGCTGAAGCCTCAGGCCTGCTCTTGTACTTAAGACTGACCTGCAAACATAATCCAGCACATTATTTGGGGCATTACAAACGGCCGTCCCAAACAATGCATCCTGACTGAGCACCAGGTGAAAGAAGTACTGCCAATTTGTCATCGCGTTGGAGCGTAGCCAAAGCTTCGCTTGTCTAGGATGTTCGGCTTCACTGGGATTCACTGGGCTTCAGCTGATGGGTGCTGAGTCCTGGGAGCACCTCTGCTCATGGCACAGCTGATGCATAGGTTTACATATCTGGAAACCGGCGCAAGCTTCACGAGTGCATCTTTCTGCCCAGGTCTGAGGGCTCGTCCGCCTGCAAACCCTGCTCTTTGTTGATCTTGTGCCAGTCCTGCTGGTCGTACCCTGGCGTATCAGCCATGTCAGAAGCTCAATGCAGGTGCTCAGGGAACGGGCGAAATCCGGAGAGGCATCCCACGAAGGCAGGCAATTCAAGACTCACTCTGAATTCATCAAGCAGTGCATCAACGCAAGTTTCTAGGCTGTGGACCCACCTTCTTGCCAGAGGGGCAATCCAGGCTCGTACGGCAAACCGTAGTCTATGCAGTACAAGACCAAGTCCTCAGACATGCTTCGAAGTGATCCCCGTGTTTGCATGCGCCGACCTGAAGCGATGAAGATATCTGGGGAAAAAACCGTTCGCCCACTCATCTTCTCGTAGATGACATTGAAGTTTTCTGTGACCTGAAGTCTGCAACGAACAGGCAAACCTCTGGCATAGTTAGTCCGAAATCTGTCTGCGCCTGATTGTCTTGGATCTTAGTATTGGCGAAGTTCTGCACCACGATCGTGCGGGAGCACTCCCTGCCGGGAGAGTTCTCGGGGCAACCTCTCGTCCTGACTATTTGTGCTTCCCTGGAACGAACCCAGAGCTTGTTTTTGAATTCTCAGTGGCAGTGTGCCGCTCTTTCTGGCGACAGCTTCGATGACCATTCAGTGGAACGAACTGGACTCAAGCAATGACAATCCAGCTGTGATTGGGTCCTACTGTCCTAATTGCTATTGAGCACCCCTTCTGACAATCATGCCTGCGGGCCTCATGGCAGCAGCCAGATGAGGGAAACCGCCGTTGTTCGGATGGTCCTGTGGTTGCACGCGACCGTGTGGTATTACAACCGGCTTGCTCCCGGGCCTCCCTTCATTTCTCGTTATTTAAACAGAACTGTTAAAGCTGGTGAAGCTTTTACAGCCACTGCCTCCATTTTTCACTGTCCCAGCTCCCATCTGTTTCCAGGGGTTGCGGCATCTTTGAACGACCCCTCTGTATCCCCTCGTCCTGAGGAAGATTCGGTGCAACGGAGATGGCGCGGTGCGCGCCGTGAGACAGTAAAGTGGTTTAACCAAGACGAGGCATCTTCGCTGTGGAGGGGCGATTTTGTGCCAACGGTAGTAGTAGTCGCCGTAGCAGTAGAAGCAGCAGCAGCAGCCGCACCGCTGAAATTGACCAGCTACTGCGCGCACCCCACCGTATCCTTTTCCTAAGCTCAGATGAGAAGGAAGTGTCGCTACCTCATCAACCGACTTGCACAAGCACTGCGCAATCGCACAGCAACGAGATGCAACGGGTGATGCGGAATGACCAAGACTTGTGGCTCCTTTCCGATGACCAGGATGACAGCGTTGTCTGGCCTTAGTGCCGCATCACACGAAGGATTCTACGAATCCGAATACAGCCAGTGTCCAAACGCAAAACGCATCTTGGCATGAGGCTTGATGAATGAAAGAGCAATCTTGGTTGTGAGGCGATTGCCACGACTGAGACCTGCAGTCTCAAGTGCTTCAGCACCTTTGGGCACTCCGCTGAACCTGGGGCCGTGACCGGGTACATCCACCAAACGCATGGGACAATCTATGTCCTTGTGAAAAAGCTGGACCTTGCTGCATCGCGCTGGCAAGGCTTTTCGTATCTCTTAGCGCTCAGTTGCGAGATGTTGTCGCTAAGTTCCAGTCATACACGGGTGTCTCGTCAAAGGCATCATCGGGTCTGATCATGGGGGGCATCTGACCACGAAACAGATCCTCAGCTCAGGCAGCGACAGAACAACTCTCGATGCAAAAGAAGCAAGACGAAACAGCTTCAGGTACGGGCGCGGTCAGGGTTCAAGCAGTCAAACCTGGTGGCTGGTGGCTTGGTTGCACTTTTGAGGAATTGTTCGGGACCAAACCAGGTCGGGCAGGCCATTCTGGATGAGCTCGCGGGTCATTCACATTTCGAACCAAGTTCGCCACCTTGCAGCTCTGCTCTAATACTGGCAATGCCCTCCCTGCAAATCGCAGTTTCAACATTTAGCAGCTCCACACCTGCGCGGCTCTTCACATTTATTGGATTCTATGCTCCGAGGCCACTGCATCTGCTAAGGACGTGAAATCCTCCTCTCTAGTAAAGTCGTTCTTCTGAAACTTCGTTCGGAATAGCACCTGCAGGCCAGAGTGTTCCAGATTCTTGAGTGGACTAACTGCCAAGCCTTCTCCCGCTCAGGGTCTGGGGTCAGCGTCATGACGCATGGCCTAGGGCATGTGTGGTAGCCGAAACACGAGCGCAAGCAAAGATATCCCGAAGGTTCGTACCGGCGAGTGCCAATGCCCTGAGCGACGAAGTTAAAAGGGTAGCCCAGCCTTGGACAAAATCAATCGTGGACAGGTGACTGCAGGTGGTCCAAGAACAAGTCTGCTGTGGCACGTTGCAGCCTTGATGCAAAAAGTTGATTGTGGTCGACTTACCTGACGAAGTGTCTCCCACCACTACCTTGGAGTCGAATGGCATTGCAGAATGTGCAAATCTGTGTGCGTCAGCTTTACTGACAGACAGATCATAAGCGAGGCAAAAGACAATCTGCTGACCTTGGTTCTCTAAAATGTCCAAGAGCTTGTTGCGGTCCTCAACTCACCGGAATTTGCAGCACTCTGATGCAGAAGCAAGGCTAGAAACCTAGAGGGTACCTGGAGCTTCGACAGCTGCTCTGGATCCAAATTCGCCTTGACGCCATCCCACCTCGGAGTGTTCAAGACAAGATGACCCGCCTGCAGATTATCAACCACTACTAAGAAATTGAGCTCCAGGCTTTGAATCCTTCGTCCACATGATGTGCTGACTAAAGCAGAGACCACATGCAGAAGTTAAAACTTTTAAAAGAGCTCGTTGTGCGTGCTGTTTATGTGTGCTGAGTCTCTGTAGAGTCAGCTCCTACTTGCAATACTTCTGGTTGATTTCCAGAGCATCTCGGGTTTGCATTGCTCAGCCAAATGCTTCCGCAAACCAGGCATCAATCACGCGGCAGGTTCTGTGACTGTACTGCTAGGCTTCTAGGCAACTGCCTGTACCCTCACCACCTACCCTGATCAAACGGCTCCAACATGCCTGGCAAAAACGAGCACATCAAGGCTGCTGCCTTTTTATCTTTCTGTTCTGGGCCTTTTGAAACTGCTTGGTCAGGGTGTGTCGCAACGCCCGCAGTGCTCAATCCGCGTTACAGGAGCTTCCCCGAGCTAAAATCCTCGACTGTTACCAGTTGCTCTCATGCATCGTCAGCCTGTGTCGTCTGGCCTTTGCTCTTGTCATTCTTGTGTGCATTCTCGTGGCAACTTGTCTTTGCTTTGCTTACCACATTGTGCGACTAATGCTGTTGCAGTCTGGTGTGATGGCCTCGTTGACCGCGCTAGTGGCGGCATCGTCGGCATCCTTCCTCGTCCTTCTTAGCTAGTCTTTGTACTACCTTTGTCATTTCTCTGTTTTACGTTTCTAAGTGTTCACACGTTCTTCAGCTTCGCAAAGATTCGCAACAGCTATCGATCACACGATATACGACTGGTTCATTATCTTTTGTCAGTTTCCTTCTTCCTCTTGCAGTTTTGAAGGTTGTGCTGGCAACGCCGGTAGCATTAGCAGGCAGTATGTCGCGGCCGTCGTTCTAATTGTAACAACAGGAAAATGAGTAAACGGTCGCAGCACTATCTGCAGCATACACTGAGAAATTTTCTCATTCTTATTGTTTTCGCAGTCCACCAAGCCACAAACCCAGAGACCAAGCAGTCTACGTGAATGCAGCATGCTGCCGGTCCTTTGACATCAGGCTGCTGCGATCTCAGAGGAGGCAATTTGCGACTGTGCCTTCAACGGGATGTACTATTGATGTGTCCCCCCCTGGCATTCTGATGAATCGCCTGCCAAGTTGAAGGCTCAGACGAATATGCCGGCACGTTAACTGGCCACCAGAAGCCGACTCTGTCGGACACTCCTAATTTTTTTCGAAAGGTGGAAGGGTCGACTATGTGCAAATAGTGTCTCATTCACGTTCCATGTTCGTTAACCCCAGATCCCGTGATTTTGGATGCATCCCCTTAAATGCATCCTCTGTCCATCCACTTAGCCCAAAGGTATGCGAACATCTTTGTCGTGCAGGCTCCCACATGCGAAACCCTCGTAGCTGGTTCAGAAACAAGCTTCTTCGTCTTCTGGCGCCGCGAAACCTACGGACTGGGAATGACGGCGTCTCTCAGGCGCGCTTAAGGCGGCTGGAGTCGTGGACTTTCACCATCTGGCCGAGCTCGCCGGCAGTATGATCTATGACTGACCTCAGGAGCCAGAAAACCAAGTCTAATGTTAGCCACCAGCCCAATCCATACATGAAGATATCTAAACCGGGTTGCTTCGCTTCGACACATGCTAGTTGCACCTCCTAGTCTCCGGAGACAGAGGTGGGGAACTCCCAGCTAAGGCCAGGGCTATGTAGCGCCACGTGAGATTTATTCGAGCCTCGATTTTAGCATGCGCAAAGACTCGAGCAACATGGACTTTTTCATCTATGATCAGCCGATATCAGCCGCAAACCCAACTCAGAAGCAATATCAGAGTCATTAGAGAATCCCTGGCTATGCACAAGCGGCCAAATCGGCCAAGGAGCCGATCTATATCGGGATGTCCTGAGTTTGGCCGCGAGGCCGGAGAGGTGCTGCAGGGAAAATCTGTGATGTCAAAGGGTGGCAGCTGCGTCCAAGTCTCTCTTCAGGAGATGCCATGCTCTCAGAAGTTGTGGAGTCTGATGACTTCGGACTCTCCACAGAGTTTCCCTGCGCAGCATTCGGTCATATAATCTGAACCCACTTTGACTCCAAAGCAACAGCTGCCCAGTCTGCGCCTTGGCCACTTGATGTGAGAAGTGCCTCCGAAGAACCCGAGACTTCTCGTCATGAGATTTGGCATCCTGAGACCTCTTTCACTACACCACAGACGAAGGCCCACTGAGATACCAGCTTTTGAAAAAGCCCCTCCATGGTGCACAGATCTCCTTTTGAGGGGAAGCTTTTCACTGAGCAATCCACCAAGAAGGCAGAATCTGCTGGCAGCCTGAATTCAGGGTAACACTCTGGAGCGTGTCATAGAAGACGCTGGGCTTTCCAGAAACGTGGTTTCGGTCCTGCAATGCGGCCAAATGCTAATATCTCACAGAAACTGCAGGTTCAAAGACCAAGCGCAATGAGAGCACAGGACCCCGTAGTGAGCTCCTTCACAGCTACCTCGAATCTCCGCGACGCGCCCCAGGAGGCTGAGATGATCCGACCTCCCGGAGCCCCGAACAGGCTCACACACACATGCATATACGCACATACCTGCACACATACATAATCCACAAACAAACATACCTGCGCAAGTACGAACATATATACTCACACGCACATGCATACACAGAAACATACACACCCTTATACATACGTGCACATACCAAACATACACATATGTATGCACGTTCATATTCATACTCATATTCACTGATCATGATCATATACAGACATAATCATACATACACACATACACACCTTACTTCCTTGCTCACTTGTTCAGTTAGTTGTCTACATTACATTACACTACATTACATTAAATAGACCCTAAAGCTCTCTCTCTCTGTCTCACATATACATCTATGTCTATATATATATATATATGATATGCGTATGTATGTATGTACGTATGTATGTAAGTATGTATGCATGTATGTCCATCTGTATCTGTGTTTGTTTGTGTACAGATCTGTAGTATACCTACCGTCATGCAGCGATGCGTTGCATAACACTTACATGTCATGCAGATGTCTGCTACTGTATAACATCACGAAATAGCAGTAAGCACTCACAGTCTATGCACGCACCAGGCAGGCATCAGGATACCGCAGCAAAAACATCAGTGCAGCAGCAGCAGCAGCAGCAGCAGCAGCAGCAGCAGCAGCAGTGGCACTGCCAACTTCACAGTCAAGCAAGTCTGAACTGATCTCAGCTCCTGGCAGTCTGCCTGACAACCGCGGAACAGACCCTGGGCAAGCAAAGCTCCTGCTGAGCTAGACTATCCTGCGAGCCACGCTGGAACAGCCCTCATTATCTTTCTAGCACTGCCATCCTTGCCTCGTCATCAGAGTGCCAGCCCACATTTTGCGACTGACGGCAAGCAAATGGCAGTAATGGTAGCAGGCCACAAGCTGAACTTATGGAAATATTTGGAGCAACGGTGCCATGTCGCACCAAGCCATGCAATTGTAGAATGCATGCACATGCCTCGTCCTCGTAGAGGTTCATGTTCACACCTGCAGTTGAGGCTTGTGAGTCTCGTACAGCGAGAAGCAACATGAGAGGCCGCCACTGTTCGGCCACTCATCCTCTCTGAGCCCACAGAGCTCTCCGAGGACTCTGGCCTGCATGCGGAGTCCATCAGAGCTTCAGCCCAGAGTGTGCGGCAGACGCGAGAACCACCTCGACATCAGCAAGCCAAGGCGGCTTGTCTCGTGGCAGTACCTCGGCATGGGATTTCAAGTCTGGGCAAGACGACATCCAGTGCTGATATCAGAATTCACTGCTACATGACTGAGTGTCCCAGAGCCGTGGAAACTGAGATCGACACAGCGGTGTCGCCGTAGACATAGCGGCAGCAGCATCCTGGAGACACATACCTTCAGAGACTGCTAAGGGCGAGTTTCAACATTGACTGTCATACCGACAGAGCACATAGGCAGGTAGTCCCCTGGGTCTCTTGCCAAGCCGCTACGAGATCGCTAAGTTTGCCAAGTCAGTTTGGAAGCTTAAAAAGCACAGAGCAAAAAATCCACGAGTGTTCTGGTGCTCAAAGGGCGGAGCCATGCGGTGCTTCTCGTGACGGCGCCTGATTTGCTTGTCCTTGGCTCGGATGCAGAGCAGCAGCGGCAACGGTCATCGAAGTATGAACAATTCAGCAACGGCAGTCCCCCTCGTCATCCATCGAAGGGATCGTCCACCTTCTAGTCATCATCAACTCGATCATCGCATCTCTATCATCACCGCAAATACCCTCCGCCTCCTCCTCATCTCCTTATCACCATCACGGTAAACATGGAAGCAGGACGGTCGCCACAGCAACAGCACGGTGATTGTCATATGAGGAGCGTTCTGAACATGCATGCTGTACATTAATACACAACTGCCGATAGGGTCGCAGTCGTCATTATGAGATTCCGTCCTGCTTGGAGCAGCATGAGATGGAACGAGGTTGCGTGGCTAGAAGGGTGTCAAGACCGCAGAGACGTGGCTCATCGCTTCACACCGGTAAGGTCAAGGCAGTGTCTGCCAGTGTCCAGATGACAGCAGCAGGTCGAATTCCTGAAGAGGTCACTCACGCATGACTCGCACCAAGAAGATGCACATTAAAGAAGAAGCTAGTGCATGATATTCCATGCAGTTTTCACCTGCCTGTCGAAGGACATCTTCAGGCGCACTCCTGGGAAGTTTCAACGACTGCCGCCAAGCAAACGGGCAGCCTCTCAGCTTCTCCGGAAACATTGCAGGGGATACAGTACAGCAACCAAGTTTCGTCCGCTTCACGAAGCAGAAGGATCGGCGATCCACATCCTCCACCACGGCCTCAAGGCTTACCGCTCTGTGACGGGCCTCTCGACAGCTTGAGCAGTCGCCTGCCATCCAGCCGTGAAGTCCCGGAGCAAGGTTAATGGCCTCAACGGCTGCATGCATCACATCTCGTCTGCGACCTCTCTCGCAGATCCGTAATCTGGCCAAGCTAGGAGGGTACTTCCCCCGGCCGTTTGGTTTTTAAGGCTTTCTGGGGCCGCACAAACCTCAGAATACATCACGTACTGCCGTCACTTTGCTGAGATGCCCTCTCTGCCTCCATCCTCAGATTGACCGTATCTGAGCGTAGTTGCAGATCCTGAGATTGTGGCCTAAACTCCAGGGAATCTTCCCCAGCCGGAACAGGGACAGTAGTTGCATGCACCTGTCAAAGAGTGCACATGCAGCCGCTTGGTCTTCTGTGCCTGCGCACTTCTGCGGCAAGGCACCTTTGGCTTAGGTGGTGGTGATGTGCGGCAAATTGCCTGCAAGGGCCCAGGGCTTAAGCTTTCAGTTCTAGGCTCTTGCATGACGAGAGGCCAATCGCCTCCTTTCCCTGTGGCCACTCCCGCAGCCGAAGCTGCTTGGACCAGCGCAGGGCCGCAATGAGCTGAGCGAGATATGCGCCCAAGGTCGTGCCAAGGCCCAGAAGTCCACTAAACCCTAAACCCTAAAGAAGCCCTCACCTCCGATGCTGTGGCCCGCAGCTGTTGGATTCGTGGGCAGCCTGGAGCCAAGTTCTGTCCGGAAAGGGGTTGGCCGTTGGTCGACTGCGGCGCAACTCGTCTCACTCTGCTTCGGAGGGGGGCTGCTGAGGCCTAGAAAGCTTTCGACCGCGATCCATCCTCCATCACTGCTGTGGATCAAGTCCTCGCCAAAGGCAGGACTTGGATAGATGAAAAGGAAAGCCTTTGTTTCGGCTCCGGCCTGGAAGAAATTGTCGGTCAACAAGTTCTCATCACTGAGGTAATACTCCACCTGCCCGAAACTTCCCACTTCGAACCAAGTCACAGGATCTCAAGCTAGACTTCACCTAGACCGCCTGGCCTGTAGTCGCAAGGCTTCCATGCGCAAAGTTTCTTCCTGTGACGAGTTTTGCGAACACTGCCGTCTCCACTGGCTGGCGGGGCTCGAGTGAATGTCTCCCGCCCGCTGACAAGAACAAGCCTGTCTCGATCGCGAGGCAGAATGACTGTGAGAAAACCTCAGCCATGGGCCCGACCACAGCAAACCTTCGTTTGATGTGTTGGATTTTGAGCCCATGCAGACATGATCAGACCTACGATTCCCCGAGAGCCAGGCTTGCAAGCTGCACCTTTCGTGCAACATCCCATCTGGAAGTAGTGGCACGGCGGTATCAACTGGGCAGGTGACGCACTCGCTGCGCAATCTCTCCCAAGTCCTTCTGCAAATGCGCCCGCACGCTTTTTTTGCTCTTGCAGCAAAACCGCCTGAAACTCCGAGCCTCTCAGACTGGCTGTTGGGCCATGCACGTTCAGCAGTGCTTCTCACGCTTGCTCTGAGAGGTGAGCGCATCATGAATGTCAAGGCGCGGTGTGCAGGTTATGGCTTCAAAGCATGAGATCAATGCTGCGAAAGCCTTGCATGTCTTGCATTCACCATCGACTGCATCGGGACAAACATTTGCGAGGCAATGTCGAGCCAGCAATCTCTGCCTCGCTTGCCCAGTTATATCAGATCGGGCTACTCTGCTCAGTCCATATCTGACTCCTCATCTGCCATTCCACGGATGTACCTCGGCATTCGCACTCTGTCAGGCAGCCTCCGGAGCTGCAAGGAACCGTCGGCAGTAAGAAACGTCTACTCTTCGTAAAGTGGCAGAACGTTGTTGCAGCGAATGAAGACCTCCCCAAGGTTGCCCCGGAAGCTGCCGTCAACCCACTCCTGCAACACTCAGCAAATCTCGCTTCACCGAGGGAGCAAAGCAACACTGATTGCTTGTCACGTCTCTGCTGCAGAAACACGAGTGTTTACTAATTAGTTCCCGACAGCACCGCCGCTACAGCAATGGGTCCGGATATCATCAACCCAAAACCATGACTGCCGACTCCTCTGTGTTGAGCAGCTGGAGGTTCATGTAAGGGTCAATGGATTTCAGGGAGCCTTTGTACTCCATACCTCAAGTCCACTCTCGTCAGAGCATATGCCGCCTTTTCATGCCTGCCCTACCTTGGACACTTCAGTCCGTGACGTGCCCATGGCTTCTGCTAGCAGCTTTCAGCTGATAGGGTTCATGAAATTGGGAGCTTGCCGTGTAATTTGTGCTGAAGTTGCTTCACCAAGTCTAGTTGGACGACATCCCGCTTGGAAACATCGTTTCCGCGCATGCGCAGCGTCGGAGGCATCGTGGATTGAAGTGCGGTCCAAGGCGCCCCATTTCAGCTTGCAAAGCACTAGCTTGCCTTTGTGGAAAAAGCAAACATGTGCTGACGGAGCACTGGTCGCAGCAAATCTCTGGCAAAGTTCATCCAGGATGCCCGTGAGGTCATTCAGGAAGGGCTTCGGGTTAACTGGCACGGTCGCCATGGTGCCAGACACAGCTGCTAAGAGAGTGGGGTCTTGAGCCAAAGCCCAGCGCGAACAAGTCATAATAGGCAACACGTGACACTCAAAACACCTCAACTGCTTTTCTAAGCTGGGGGAAAGGCTCCGAGCTTGCTGGCCATCTGCTCTTCTGCGCTTCGAAGGCGGATGGTGGGGCAACTGTCGCCTGCCGAAAGCACTAAGGCTAAGGCTCCTCTTGCTGTGTTGGCCAATGGCTTGGTCTCTTCCTGTGATCTGGCCTATGGAGGCAAGAATAGCATTATTTTTTTCACTCAAAGCTTCGATCGTTCGCTTCGAGCTTCTGCGACCACACCCTCCTCGAAGAGGACGTCTACCTAAGAGCGTCTCCGGAACGCTCCCTGAAGAGCGACTCTTCGATTCTCTGAGCCGGCATCCTCATGTCTTGAGTAGCCAGAGGCGAGCAGCACCTCGAAGCTCTGCTTTCACGATTTGCGGTGAGCGCCCATTTTGTGCTATCTTTTACTTCGTCTTGAGTTCACCGACTTTGAAGTGCCTCTCTGGTGTGGGATCCCGGCACCGGGCATGGTCTAGGCCTCACGGATCAACAAAAGAAGAACATTGCTCACCTTGTTTTCAGAGCTGCGGCAAGCCGAGGCCGACGCACATGGCCCGGGGTACGGCTCAGCTTGGGCGCAGGCGCAGGCTCGTAAACGCCAGGTGCGCCTCAAAAACTGACGTGGACATCGCCTGCCTTGGTGCCTTCGACTCAGACTCCTGCCGGGTGTCGGCTCAAAGCCTCAGTCGATACTCCCTTCAGAGGAAACGAAAGGAGGAAAAGCCGCCGAGCTCCAAGCTATGCCTTCTTCTGTTATGAGGATGTGCCGCCTGACTGGCAGAGCGAAGTCGAGGCACGTTAGCAGCTAGCAACACTGAGGACCGAGCCGCCTCTGATGCATTCAGGACCGGAACGCAGCACGCGTCGGTGCCTGCAAATACCTTTGCCTTTGCACGCGCATGGACAAAAATCGGCGTCGAAGACTAAGGGTGGAGTTTTATTTCGGCCCATGAAGATTCACCCGAGCTCGCGTCCCATTCGTCGCGAGTCTTCGTGAGGAAGATCGACGCAAAGCGGGACTTCATAAGAGGCCAAGCCTGCAGGACCGAACAGCTGCCAGGAACTAGTAACTAGTGCATGTATGTGTAGATCCTGACTTGAGATCTGCTTCGGATTGCCTTGCGATCATACTGTGCTGGCAGCTCTTCTGCCGCAAGCCTTGGTTGGAAATGCTTCACGTGCAGCTCCCTTGCAACCACTTCTCCAGAAGGCTGTTTTTGCAACGAGAAGGCTTTTGTGACACCTGTCTACTGAAACGTTGGGAAGCTCCAACCGTTTCGCTGCAGCTGCGTGACTCAAGTCCGTTCAAGAGCACCTTGTAGAACTGGGGTTCGATCGCCTGTACCTGCACGCTACTGTGTAAGACGTAGGTACAACTCCATCTATCCTTTTACCATCTTTTACCTACCTACGTACCTACCTACATATCTATACCTACCTGTCTATCTGCCTGTGTATCTGTCCGTTTGTCTGTCTAAGTGTATATTTCTCAATCTACTCTCCACCTATCTACCATTATTTACCTATCTAGCCATCTGAACCTACCTACCTACCTACCTACCTACCTACCTACCCACCCACCTGCTTATCTACCTATCTGCCTATCTTTCTATCTACCTACCTGCCTACCTGTCTTTCTGTCTCATCTGCCTGTCTGTCTGTCTATCTATTTGTCTATCCCTCTATCTCTATCTATCACCCTGTCTAGCTGTCTACCTATCGACCTACCTACCTGGAACCCGTCAACCTGTCCACCTGTGTATCTGTCTATCTATCTATCTTGCTATCTATCTATACTATGTGTACTCATATGTGGCTTTTACACGCATTTACTTACATGCGCATGCATGCATGCACAATTGCATGCATGCGTGCATACCTACATATGTACGTGCGTACGTACATATGCACACATGCACAAGCTCATGCACACATGCACATCTACATAGTTACACATATATACACAGCTATATACAATTCTACATGATGGATGTATGCAAGCATGCCCGTGTCTGGCTGGCGCTGGGCTACACTTGCACACGCCATAGTACACACATGTTTAGGTGTGCAGGACGAGAAGTGTTTATGAGTGTCGTATGCAGTGCAGACACCTCAGATAAGTCTACCTTGCCATCGTTCAGAATCACACAGTCACATTCTCCAACTCACAAAAGACTTCGTGTTCTACAACACTTGCCCCGTGGCAGCCCCAGGGCGCACTGAGATGTATTGATGTGTTCCTTTCTTCTCCTCAGCGCTTTTCATGAACAGATGTAAAAGAACATGCGGCTCAAATTGATAGTAACATCCAACAACGAGCCATCGTCCTTTTAGGGCGTTGCGGGGTCTTCCTTACAGAGATATATGTCGGACCAGTGCGGCGCCTGACCTGGGCGCTACTCAGCACGAGCACAAGCACCGGGCTCGGGGCACGACATTCTGCTTCAAAGGCCCCGGCATAAGATAAAGTCTGAGGCCACTACATGGCCGTCACTTCCTACCTCGGTGTTATATCTGTAACCCCGTGCACTGCTTGCGAAGAATCAGCAAACATCGAATTTGTAATTGCTTCGATTTTTCTGTGTGAAGTGCGGCAGACGGCCTTGACATGTTATGACATGAATGACAGGCGTAAGTAGTAACATAAGTCTGACTCACGTGATCAATTAAATTGGGCATCCTCGATCACAGCACCGTCATCAGTAGTGGGACGAGTATGCTAGTTTCTCGCTCTACTTTGCGCTGCTTTGCTTCTCTGGTTTGTTCAAACAAGTGCACATCGTGCACTGAAACCGCTCAGTGGAAACGGATTCATGCGTACAATGTTTGCAGGCGGTGGGCAGCACAAAAATGATGCATCCATGTGAATCGGTGTCCCTCCAGCATTGCACAGTTCACCAATGCTCCCATCAAATGCGATGCGCAGGACCCCCAGCAAGCCCTCATGAAATGTAGGGTCCCGAGTCTCGCGCTGGAACCAGGCCAGATTGCATCCACTTGAAAAGTGGGAGTGCCTGCTTGCACGAACTGTGAGCTGCAAGCCCAAGCCTCCCAACGGCGAAGAGCACCTATATTATACTATAACTATAGTATAAGGAACCCCCAAGAAAGATTATAGGTAATAATCATTATTACTATAACTATAATATAAGGAACCCCCAAAAAGATTATAGGTAATCATTATAAGGCCCCTACCGTGTAGTTGGCGCCATCGACCATGGCCGCATCGATGACCTGGCCGCGCCCGCTCCGGCTGCGTTCGACCAGGGCCTCCCGGGCAGACGGAAACCCGACTCGACACGAAGAGTGGAGGCCCGTTTGGGGGTTTCCGAAAATAGGGGACCCTAATATAGTACCCCAAATAATAGGATCCTTCTTATAAGGACCCCAAAATAAGGTACCCCTAATTTTTCGGAAACTCCCATTTCCAAAGTTTCAAAGTGTCTGGAGCCGCGACCAGGAGAACCCCCAGCGCCAGCATCATGGCTCCTCCTGCCTGGAGCCCATCTTGAAAAGCCTAGGCTAAGCCGATTAAGCCGATTGCTCATGAGGCTGGAGCATAGTCGCCCGCAAAGTTTGCGGGAGGAAAAGGCTTTTCATCCCCGCGCCTGAAGAAGTCCAAAGTGCCTCTCGCAAGCTCTCGCAGCTTTCAGGCACCAAATCTCGGGCTCACAACTCGAAGCCTGCCTGCCAAAGCGAGATAGTTGTTGTCATGTCCTGCCATCGAGCTGAACTCTGTTCCACCCTGGCCATATCCTCAGCGATGCAGCAACCGAAAGCAAGAATCAATGTTATGCTCGTCCAAGTTCCCTGCCTGTCATGCGACCATAAATCAGACCCGGATTCTCACTGCAGAGCACCTGCAAGCTGGTGGCCTCACTCGTAACCTGGTTCGAAGGACATGCATTCGTAAACCCGGAGCCTCGGGGCCCAAACCGAGCTTCTCCACCACCTCAGGGATGAACTTGAGGATTTTGGTTTAGGCTTTAGGGGCTAGGGTGAAAAGAGGCACGGTGCTCTAGGTCCGGGAGACGAATAGAGGTGGGACCTGTGTCGTTGTCATTATCATCATCGTCATCGTCACCAGCATCCTCATCAGCAGCAGCAGGTGCCATGGCCACTGCGCAAGCAGAGGCCAATGCAGGCCCAATTCAGGTGGACCCTTTACAGCCTCTCGTATCAAGGTTGACGGTTTGTCCTGCGGAATTAGGGCATCTGCCCACAGGAATTAGAGCGGATCGGTTCATCGTTGCTTGGAGGGGTGCCTGAGACCACATGCTTCGTGTCGCCTTTGGGACCTTCCTGCGGCAATGGCTGACTTTGGTCCGACTGCGCATGAGGCCTGGCAAAGTTCTTGGAGCGCAAGAGTCAGCTTCAAGGTTCGATGCAGCCGTGGCAAGGCACAGCAGACAGGCTTTTTGTTGTTGCAGGCTCGTTTTCAATGTAGCTTAAGGGGGCAGTCACTGAAAAAACTTCCGCATCTGAAGTTGCAGGTGGCTGTTTAAGAAAGCCTAAGCTGACCTTGTCGTTGAGCCTTGACTTGACCTAGAATCAGGTGTCTTGAGGTCACGGCCCCTGGCCGGAAAGGCTCCAGGAACACGTCCACCGTTGAAGCAAGCTTCTGGACAACCTGCCATGGTGACATCGCGTGCAGCATGCCGCTGCCACAGCAACTACAACAGATTGTGCTCAGGAGCAATTGACAAAGTCTTCCAGCTTCATTGCAGACTTCACACTTTGCCGCGATCGTTGCAGAACGCAAGTGCGCCTTCACACCCTCTGCAGTCTTGATGTTCACAGCGACCGATCCTCGACTCCAACTTAGCTATAAGCGGAGTGCCGATGTTTCGTTGCGGCAGCGTGCTGGGTGACAGTCGCTTGCCGCGGGAAACTGGATCTCCTTGTGAGCGTGCTTGGCCTCCCTGCCTCCAGATACACTGGAGACTGCGCGAGTCTGTTGAAGCCGACTTTGCAGCTCAGCATTTCAGCGTCCCATGTGAGTAAGCACAAGACGCCCGGCAAACAGTGACAACCTAGGTTGTCACACTTGTGGTGCTCACAAGCATCTGGTCGCAAAACTTGCATCACCGGGGGTGGTGCGTCTGCACCAAAGTCTGCGAGAACACAAGCAGCTAGTGGGCATGGCCCGATGCCTTTGAAAGGATTCTCACACCGGTTAAGCAGACACCGGCATGATGCTGCTGTAGCAGATGAGAATGATGCAATGATGCATGAAGTCGCGCTTCTTGCTAGCATTCGAGATGCGGCAGCGACGAGCATGTTGTTGTTGTGGTTGCTGCTGCCGCTGATGAGCGCTTTGGGGATGAGGACCACAGATGGTAGAAAGCAAGGAGTGACTTGACGTTGGCTTCATGGTGCTTCGTATGAAGGGACGTTGATCTATTGCGGCTGGGCTTTGATGAAACTTCATTTCCCGAAATCCGACACTTTCCGAGCGCATCGCCCTCCAGCTCAAGCACTCTCACGCCATGCAAAGCCATTGGCACTTCGGCACGGGTCCGCTAATCGCCCGCCTTCACTGATTGGGCTGAGTCGACGGTGTGCAGTGTTGCAAGAAGACTGGTCTTCACAACAAGTGCCGGCCATGTCGCTCAATCGTTCTAAAGCTGCAAACTCCTTCTGCGTTGCTCTCGCGTGGAGGCCTAACCTGTAACATGAGACGTCCTTCCCGAGCCGATGCTTGACGAGAGCTTGTTAGCAAGCAGCAGCATCAAACGAATGCCGACCCAAATCGCAGGTCTGGCTATTCTGTTACGCTGCTAACTCTTGCAGGTGCTGCCTGGCTTTCTTGGTTCCAGAGCGAAAACCTTGGTGCACGTCGCAGTGGGTCAGGATGGGTCAGGCTTCACGCCGCACTACACCCGGGCGGCCGCGCATCCGCATGAGCGTTCACGAAATTCTGCACGCCTCCATGCGACTGCACGACCCAGCGATAGAGGCTTCCGCCTTCCTGGCCGGGTGAGGTTCGACCCGAAGCTCCTCTTTGCATCTCTGCCTGCCTCCCGGTAGATGTAGCCAACAGCACTCGCAGGTCGGCTACCGCCGTTCCACCTTTCAATACTCGACGGATTTTTGGATATGGAGGTGGGAAACAGCTTGACATAAGGTCCAAGGGATTTGGCTTTCTGCTGAGTAGTAAACATAAAACCATCTTAAGTTCGAGCCCCGTGCCTCGACTACAAGTTGTTAGCTGCGCGATGCTCTCTATGCTTGAGAAGACCATTTCGGGTTCACGCTCCGAGCCAACAGATCTTGGCTGGGGTCTCTCGAGACCAAAACCACACGTGATCTATCTTGCATGCTGCAGCCAGAACCGGAATATCAGCTAGGATCGCCGTGGCGGGGGCGAAAGAGGCCTTGCGGCGCGCGGGGGTGGGTGCGGGGAGGGCGTGGCGCCGGTGCTAGGTCGGGTACTGCAAGAGCTGCGCCAGCGCGAAGACGGTTGCATCTTCGCCACCTGGATTTAAGACTCGTGCAATCGTGTGCCTGCTAATGCAAGTTTCGAGCATTCTTAGGCCTTCTGGGACCTTCCAGTAGGCCATGGCCATCCAGCGCGCATCTCGGCTCCAGGAGAGGAAAGGATGCGTTTATCCGATGTGGTTTGTATTTGTGTTTGTGGGCAAGACGGGTTGCTTGTGGCTGCTTGCTTGCCTGGTCATTCGTCTTTTCTTGGCTATGTACGTGCATGTTATACAGTATGGATATAGCTTGCTGTAAATCAGCTGAGCCAGGACTCGAGCGCAAAAAGCCGAAGTCACATGTCGTGAGAGGGATCATCGTGAGAGGGATAATGTAGGTAACTATCACTGTAGCCGAAAGCTCAGCCGCGGAGTTGCGTACGCTGCTTTGACTGCGCCTCATGCTGCTTCCATCCACAACCCTTTCAGCTCCGGGCGGACAGCAGAGCTCGATTTTAGCTGAAGTGGAAAGCCGGCAAAGCTGCTCATTGAGATGCCGAGAAAGCCAGCAGGGTTCCTGGGCGGCACCGGCCAAAAATCAATTGCCGAAGGCCTCATGAAAGCATGAGTTGAGCATGGGCTAGCGGCCGCTAGCGGCTCGCGATTTGCTTTGGAAAGCCTGCTACGTCGGGGCAGTTGCATGCAAGGTTCTGTTGGGCCACGAACAAGGGATCCTCATGAGTATGAGAAGGCACTAGTCGCTCCTCTACCGCAAGGAACAGTCGAATCAGCAATGCGATTTGCATGGGAGCAGTCCTGGGCAAGAGAATTTTCGCAAAGAATGTTGGCCTGGAAAAGTCCATCATGCATGATAACAGACGAACCACTGCTTTCGAATCAGTGCTGTAGTGCCCTGTTGAACTTCTGAAATCCGGCCTTGGCTTCGAGGAGCAGGGATGCGGCGGCACTTTGGCCAGCAAGGGCTGCGTAGTGCAAGGGGGTCTCGCCCAACTGGTCTTGTGCGTTGGGGTCTGCATGCAGTCTCCTCTGCTGACATCTGCTGATTTGCATAAAATGCAGCCCCTGCTGGGCTTCGGTGCTCAAACATGCCAAGACGAAAACATGAAGAACAAGATGCAAACAGCCTTCGACTGCTTCAGGTGCGTTTGTTTGTGTTTATGTTTCTGTGTGTGTGTGTGTGCGCACGTGTGTGTGTGTGTGTGCGTGTGCGGGTGTGTGTGTGTGTGTGTGCGTGTGCGGGTGTGTGTGTGTGTGTAGAGAGAGAGAGAGAGAGAGAGACAGAGAGAGAGAGAGAGAGAGACAGAGAGAGAGAGAGAGAGGGAGAGAGAGAGAGCGAGAGAGTGCGTCTGGTTGGTGGGCACGGGCCGTGGGAAATGTTGCACGTCCGGTAGTTCCGTCACATGTCGGTGCGCCAGAACCGAGGGAAAGCCAAGTGGCAGGAGTGCTCTCATAGCTTCCATGGACCCTGCTGCAGCTGCAATGTGCAACGCTGTTTCGCTGTGGGCACCCTGCAAGCCTTATAGCACCAGGCAAACTTGAGCCCATCACCCACTGGTTTTGTGAACGGAACACGTGGTAGTCACTGGTAATCTGAGACACCAGCTGGAACCGTTGATAACGAGGGAAGGATTCATGCAAATAGCTTTGACCTCCTTTACTGGCAAGCAATGCACGGAACAGCTGAGCTCCGACATGCTCCAGGTCCTCATCGTCATCACACTCTGCAGCTTCGCGGAGCACTGGCCCTGTGCCCGAAGCTGTGCAGCAGTGCGCGTTGAAGCCGAAGCCAGCAGTGAACAGAAGGGCCTGCTCCCCACCGCTGGAAGCGTCGATCGATCTGATCGTAGATGGCCTGCCCATGACCTTGCTTGATGTGGAATGTTTCGGAGCAATCGTTGAGAAGTTACCAACAAGTCGGTGCAACACAGCTTGATGGATCTGTCTTGCAACCCTTGGATTTCAGCAAGGCGTCCTCGTGACTCGAAGTAGTCCTCGACAGTGAAGCTTTCACGAGGCTAAGGCTGTCAATCTGCCGTGTCCTTGATGGCTTGGAGCTCACGCGCTTCAGCTCTGCAGTTCCGGCTGGAAACATATTGCATGCTGCGCCCAATGTCTGCGTCGAACCTGCAGCCGGGCATGCAACGCCGCTGTCACGGAGGACGACTGCTGCCGCCTGCCGAAAACCCAGCTGCCATCCGCGAATGGGCAGCTGCATGCCAGCGCCCCTGGCGGCTCGCTCTGGCTCTCCAGGAGGCTTGCATGCATGCAACTGAAGCAGCAACTCGAAGGTCTGTGGATGCAGGCTGTTTCCAGCTGGCTATGACAACCATGCCCAATTCTGCAGAGCAGTCGCACTATGAGACACATGACACGTTAGAGCAACGAGCAGAATTGCGTGGGGGCTCGTGTGGACAGCGGCAAATCAGAAGGTGGCAGCATATGGCCTGTCGCGCAGGCCAAGTAGATGTCCAAACCTATCTGCGCCCAAGGAAACGAGAAACACTACACAGGTCCCATTCACCAGATCTCTTGCTGGGTACTGGTTGCACAACGTGACAAGACCAGAATGGCAACTGCTGATTTGTCAAGGTGTTGGCAGCAAGAAGTGTCTTGACTGCATCCGTTCTGCTGAGAAACCATTCCGCGATGCAAACTCGAACTCCAGAAACCGCCATGCGCTTGCCATCTCCGGAGCATCGTGATCAAGAACTCCCAGCATTGCCTGGCATCATCTGCACGACAAAACAGCTACCGCCGACGTCTGCCACGTTCGCACCTGGCACTCCAAGAGCTCGTCTGCAGCCGGGAAGGCGACACCCTTGATGTGCTCCGCAGATGCCTCGATGTCTCTGTGCTCTCCGGCTTCCTGGGAGCCTTCGGGTCTGGAAGACAGGAAGTCCACGAAAAGCACCGCCGAGTCCGGCAAATGAAGAGCCTCTGCCCACCAGTCCTCAGTCAGCTGCCAGTGTGAAGCGAACGTTGGGGGCTGGACAAAGCAACTCAAGGTTAAGCCGAACAAGATTCGATCGCGGCTGCAGCATCGCTGATTCGAGTGCTCAGTGATAAACTGATGTAGTATTTCGGCAGCTGCGGACCAGCTGAAATGATTTCCATGTAGGAACCTCAGGGTGTCGCGTGAAGTCTAGCACTGGCTTTCTCGCAGACACGATCAGCGGGACCGGCGTGGTCATTTAGCCGAGAGAAACTTGTGAGCAGAAGAGTGCCCGGATGGTGCGCAGTCGTCAGGTCATTTTTGGGCCTGGGCACGCCTCGAGGCGCCGATGCGGGGCTTGATGAAGAAGTTATAGATGACATGCACGTCAGCATCTTGAAAGCTCGCTGGCGGAGGAGTCTCGGCATCTGAACACCAGCGCCGCTCACACCAGGCAGCCTGTTGCAGGGGTTCTCTCTCTCTCTCTCTCTCTCTCTCTCTCTCTTTTCTGAAAGCTACAGACCCCGATCGAGGATTAAGTGCCTTTGGCCATGCACCAACAGATTGGGCCTCGGCCTGACGTGTGAAGGCACGCCATTGCCCCAGCAAAACACCTCTGAAAGCTTAAGGCTGCGTGCATCATGGTCTCAGGGTCCAGGTGGGCCAGGGGAAGTTTGTAAGGGCTTACTTTCGGATGCATGTTTTGAGCATGGGAGCAAGATGATGGAGCTTCGCACCTCTGTGCTCCTTCCTCGGCACGTGACAGCCGTGTAGAAGATGGCTTCGTCCAACAGTCGCATAGACTTCGACACGCACCATCATATTCAACTCCTCGAAGACCTTGGAGTGGTCTTTGAACAAGCTAGCTTCGTGCGTGTATTCTCCTTCACGGCTGCGTGTATCATGGTCTTGGTCTTTCAGCAGAGGTCGGCCATGATCGCGCAGCAAGCGACCATCCGCCGCCACCTGCAGGCCTTGAAATTCGTCGATGCCGGCGATGTAGTTAAGGATCTGACGTCGGTATGCATCCTCGTCCACTGCTACAGTGCTAGCAAGTCGTGCTAGCTAGTACCACTTCGAAACCTAAGCCCTAAACTCTCCAAACCTTTCTAAAGCCGCAGATATTGAGCAGGCCAACCTCGGAAGCGTTGGTTTGGCGAATGTCCCAAGCCTTGATCGCTTCGATCAGGGGTCCGGAAGAGGCTCGCCCAGAGGAGTGCCCCACCAATCCTGGTGAAGGCACTGGTGCTGAGGATAACTTGGTCAAATCATGAAACTTTGGTGTCAATGGCTAATGAAGCCCATGCGAAAGAAGACAGCTTCTGAGCAGCAGTGTTGCAACAAAGTCCTGATGGGGTGTAGATCAACAGACGCTTTTGGGACTGGATGGTCAAATAGAGCTCGAGGCCACACCACACTCTGCCAAGTGATCCAGCTGAACGATCCACAATCAGGACCTGAAGCACATTAATGCAGTGATGATTCGGTGTCTTGCAACCCCTCTGTTATCTGTAACAAACTACAACACAGAGCAACACTGGAAATGCTGCAGCAGGAACTGTTAGGTCTGCAGCGGCGACTGTTTGATAGAATGGGCAGGTAGCCAGCCTATCGCCGAAATCCTCACCCCACTGGTTGTTGGCGAAAGTGCAAACCCAGAGTGGGGTACTGCCAGGAAGGGCTTCGTCCACGCAGAGCTCCTGGATGACACGCATGAAGTCTCGGAATCTTCCTCCCCACCAATGGCTGATCATAAGCCGTGCTGGTTGGGGCTTATGAGCTACGAACTCACTCCAACTGCACCATTCCTGTGCCATCTGAGCATGGCGAGCTCCTTGTATTTTGGGGTTCACATAGGGGATCACCTTCTTGATGACCTCGGATGTGATATCGTACATGTTGATGTCGAACCATGTGATGTATTCGTCATAGCACCCATTCTCTTTGGAGTGCTGAGAACTGTGCTTCAACAGCAGGGCCTTGCACAGCCGCTGCAGGAAAAGCGACAGCTGCCTCAATTGCTTCACCGTGACGGCCCTTTCAGTCAAGTCGGAAATACGCGTCACAACAAAGCCGGCATCCGGCCAAGGTAACGACATTCTTCATGACAAACGGATGGGAGAAGCCCAATTTCAAGCCGTGACTTGGGCAATAGAGGGCTTTCCGTGACATGTATAAGAAGCCACCACCTGAGTTTTGCGGTCAATAGAGTCTTTTTAATGTCTGGGGAGGTGGTGTGCCGCAGGTTCGACCGACGGCAAGGGAGCGTGGAGTCTGAAGCCTTACGGGGCTCATGTTTCACTTAGTTGAGCAATAGTTGAGTAGCAAGATTCGGACTTCCTTTTCCTAGCCCGCGCTTGAAGATATCCTCTCTCCTATGGTACGAGGCATGCGTGCGCCCGCATCGCGATGATCGTCCTCACTCTTCCACAAGACTTTGTAAGCTGGAGTTTGCATATGCAATGTGACGAACCATCGACTGCGCCCGCCTAAAGAGTTGAATTCCCCGCACGTGACACGTGCGGACAGTGGGGAGCCACACGTCTAATGAGCTTCAAATCGAGAAGTCGCGAATCGAAGCATCTGTACAGCAGCTATACCAGAGACAAGTAACATCACTCTGCCTCTTTCGTTCCTGAAGCTCGCCGCTCAAGCCCATGGTGGATACAACTACGTCGATATATTTACTGCTGCATGGAATGGACTTACTTACATGCACTCTGTGCGGTAGCTCGGCCGGTAGACCTCTCCTGTGCAAAGGTCCCGTTCAGTTGCACTTCATGGAAGTGCTCGCCGCTTTCACATGGCGGCTCATGAAGAATAACGAATTCAATGCTTAGTGCTGGTCCGGATGGAAAGACCGCCACTGCTTCCGACCTACGCGAGCCTTCCTCCACACTCGGCTCTCGTCGACTCCCTTGTTCTGCGGCTCCTCAACAGGGGATGCCAGAACTTCTCTTGGCTTTCGATCGCAACGCATGGCCTGGTGGGGAGCTGAACCGGTTGAACCAGTTGAACCCGTGGCACCAGCAAGAGTTGCTGTAGTGCCTGTTGTGCCGGTGCTGTCCACAGCATCGCACCTGGGGGAAGAGGGATATGGCTTGGAACGTTTCCCCGACATTGTGCCGTAGATGAGGAAGCCACCAATGGACAACCCAAACTGGAGTCTGCTGTCGTACCAAGTGCTATATGACTGTTACCGAGCCTGAAGCCGCAAATCTTCAAAGCAAAGCGGCTGAGACTTGTCATGGTCCTGGCTTTGGCATGGATCTGCTCGCTCGAAGCATCTCGAGTCTTCCTGTTGGCCGCTTGTGTTTTGGCATTTGTTCAGGGGGATGTGTGGATCGGGCTGCCTGCCCCAGATCTACGCTCGAGCCTTGTCTCGGTTTTCGTCTTCAGTTTTCTGCGGCAGCAACTCTGCGAACACGGCCTCAGGATGTCTCAGGATGATTTGAATGGGAATGGCAATAAGGAAAACCACAAGAAGAGCACGATAACCAATACATAGACATGCACATGTCTGTCTCGAGGAGTGCATTCGGAACCCTCGCAGGGCACTTGGGGAAACATTCCACAGAGGCCGTAACTTCCAAGATACTCTGAGCCAGCTACGACTTGGAGGAGGTGGTCCGAAGGGTAGCCGCCTCGTCATGAGAGGTATCTAAAACATCGTATACGAACCCACTCAAACGCACAAGCAAATGGATTCAAACTGCAATGCGACATAGTAGTGTGACAACCATCCAATCACTGTCCAATCACCCAAGCACTCTATCCAATTTCTATCTATCTATCCATCCATCCATCTACTTATATTATATACATACACAGAATACATGTGTTTCCACATAGATATTATGCATATATACATAGAGAGAGGAAGAGAAAGACACGCATAGTCATATACCGATCACAACAATAGTATATAGCAGTTATACCATGTCACTGGCGATTTGAACTTACAATATACCTGCAGTCTGATAGTAGCATGGCAGCAGGTTGATGGTACAGTCGCGGACTCCTGAAGAGCGCCCTGCTGTTGCAAAGTCTGAGACCGAAGCTGCCCAGTTGTTGCACACACTTTAGCCTTGGATTGGAGGGCCGTCCGATGCGAACTTTAGATTCGACGTCTCAGGCTCCGAGTTTCAGACTGCCCCTCGCAAATTCGAGGCAGTCCAGTCAAGACGGCTAACCTGCGAATTTGTCAGAAAGAGATCTGCTGGACCGTCGCAACCGGGGCCAAAACGGACGAAGAGAGCCGTCGTGCATGATGAGGTCGGAGGAAGCCCCCTCTGCGAACCTGAGACCCCAAGCACTCGAACTTCAGCTTCAGACTTCGCCCCAACCCTCCACTTCCAACTTTTATGCATAAACCCTGAAACTTCCGGGAAGGGCCGGAAAGGAAGCCTCACTTCGGGCCTCGAGGCCGATGTGCCGGGATGTCTGCCCAAGAGCTGAAAGCACGAGCTCTGCCTGAGGACTAACTATCATGATGAGAGCAAAACTGCTGCAGACCCAGTTTCATTCATGCAACGACGTTGTCACATGATGTTCATGACATTCCATCTCGGAAGCCACGGCTCCGAAACTGTCAGATTGAGGCTTGCACCAAATTTTTGGTCCAGCCTTCCCCAGGCGTTATCAGACTTCAGTCCTAGCATACCCCCTATAGAGATAGCGCCCCTGATCTCGGTCTCAACAGCCTTCGAGGCCATGAAGCCAAATGGCGAGATGGCAGCATCTGCCTGACGACGGCAAAGATCGAAGATCATGCATGAAGTAGCGACGCGGGGCGATACTAGAACGCTCCATCTGCCGCGCTTGCACTTCGAACAAGACTCACCATGTCCAATCCTCGCCGAGCCCTTCCAACACATCCTGAGTTCGGAAATGCAAGGGTCAGCTTTCAGTGCTTCGCCTTTTGGAAGAAAGTTCATCCGTGAATGTTGCAGGGGTCCTTTGCTGACAGGCCGAAGTCTCCGCACCACACCGGCCTGGGACAGTGATTTTTTGGAACCCAGCAAGGCTAAGGGATTGAGGGGTCCAAAGACCACTTTCCAACCAAGGCTTGGCTTGCCTACACGCAGCTGGGCTGAGGGATTCGCCTTGCATCTTGTGAAGCGGCTTTCTCCAGGAGCTGTGATTGCAAGGGGGCCAACCTAGAAAGTAGAAAGAGACACACGAGGCGGGACAAAAAACGAACATGAACAAACCATTACAAGGGCGATCTCGGAGCTACGATCCAGGCTCATGCAAGATCACCTCCTTTTCAAGCTGCTCACCTGGACTTTAACTTTAACACGCACAGGATCTTTTGCGGCAGCGGCAGTGACTGGCGCTAAGTCACTTGCCCCACTCGATTGCATAGACACCCGGCGATTTGCTGCAGCAAACCACCAGGTCAGGACAATGAGCTCGAGATACAAGCCTTACTTCAGCTGCAAAGAGGATTTACCCGACCTGCAACGCAGATGTCTTGAATGCGCGGAAAAGCTAAGCTAGTGGCTCTGTGCACACTGCACAGTTCGGGACGGTCCAGAAGCTCTTCAACTGCAAGAAAGTCTCACATTGAATATTGAACTTTTGTTTGAGGACGGTCCAGAAGTCTTCAACTGCAAGCAATAGTCTCTCACTGAATCCTTAACTTTGGCTGTGGGCGGCGAGAAGCCTGCCAGCGGGAGCGCTTCCAAAACACCTCAGGCAGGTCAACCTGCACTGCCCATGCGACAGGCCCTGTGTAGACCTGGAATGCAGCTGCAGAGCCGCATTGCCCAAACAAACTGTGGAGCTTCCAGGGAGACGCATGGCTGGCGAGAAGGCCACGCCTGAGACAGCACTTCAGACGAGCGGGGTCTGTAGCTTGGACTGTTTCGCGCGCTGCCACTCTTGATAAGCGAACGGCCATAGTTTTTCATAGCCAATTCTCTGTACAAGTGTACCAGATGGTTCCTGCAACAGGCTGCGGCCGTCGCAATACGTCGTGCAAAACGTGTGGGAGAGGTCCCGGCATCACTGGCTCCTGATCGCTACCTGGGCGCCCATCAGCTGCTGGTCCCAACTAGCCATCCTATCGGCACTGTTCCCCTGAGATGCAAGCTGAACCACTCCCCGTGAGTCTCACTGCATCGATCGCTGTATCCAATGCTTTGGATTCCCTGGACCTGTACGCGGCATGCCATGTCTATCACCTCTGCAGAATCGCTTCTGCAGCTCAGCATGAGCTAGGGCACAAGCACAAATGACATCCGCAGGATGCCACAGCCTGCCATTTCAAACTGCTGGCAAAGGCACTGCATGAACATGGACGTGCTAGTTTCAGTTTCCAAGAAATTCTGCCGGTTGTACAGCTGTCGCTTGATCCGCTGCATTCTTGTTTCCCAGTACACAACCTCCCACGTTCTTCCAAGATTCTCATGCAGGTGCCTATAATCCCAAACCCCTGGGCCAACGGCATTCGGATCCAGCTCGCCCTTAGCGATGGCCTTTACAGCTATGCTCACAAAACATCCGAGATAGCATGGTCCATGGGGTCACTGGGATCACTTAGCACTTAGCAGAGCATTATGCTTGGCTGGCCTCTTCCGCCTCCTGCACCTTCGGCGACAGTCTGCAGGAGATGTCCGACGACAGCGAATACGACCTGGAGGCCAGGATTCTTGCGATGTTAAAACATGTGTTTATCCTCGAAGGCCTCTCTACTCTCTAGCTCCTCGAGTTTCCATCCGTGGGAAACGATTAAGCTTGCGAATGCATTACCGTTCGAGACGGCGGTGCTGAGGGCACCGCATGACCAAGAACACATGTGGAGGCAAAACCTTGCAGCACTTCTGGACGCGAGAGAGCTTTGCCAAGCCGCGCCGCCATGCCTCGATGTTGTCCATACCCCCGTTGATCTCCGGCTTCAGCAGGCTCCTCACTTCCGCACACCTGAGATGATGTTCTGCGCTCCAGCTCGGAAAAGGGATGTGTGACGTATCCGCTCTAAATGAGACTGACAGAAAAGCACCTGTGACAAGAACTGTGAGTCAGCTAAGAGTTGGGCTCTTCGGTCGTCTGGAAGAGCCTGTCTGGGTGAAGCTCATGCTGCAACTCACCAGTT